GGTCCCTGTGCTTTGCTAAGCTTAGCTTGTTCTAAGTAGGTGCTTTAGACCACTGAGCCATCTCACCAGCCCCACGAACACTGCTTTCTTAAACTCAAGTTGCTCGTGAAGATACCAGCTGGTAATGCCTTTTAGAGACAAATAAAGCTGGCTCCCATGAAGTCTAAGCTTCTGCATTTTGTTATGAGCATACTTAATATAAACGGAGAGGCAGCTTACCAAAAATGGCTTAGCTTAGGGAAGAAAAAAACCTTTAGTGTTCTGTGAAGGTGCCAATAGTCCTGAGGTCATCCCCTCCCCTCTCTTTTCTAATACTGTTTTTAATTTAGTACAGGGTCTACAGGGTCTCACTACATAGATTGGACTCATAGTAATTCTCCTGTTTTCAGCCTCCCAAGTGCTGGGATTACAAGCGTGGGCCACCACGCCCAGTCTCAATCGCCTTCGCAGCACGCCCCAAGGGCAGGGGCGGGGATCGAACCCAGGCCGCTGTGCTCTGCCTAAGCAGTTGTTTTAGTCCCCTGAGCTATCTGGCTGGCCCTTCTAATACTGTTTTTATTTTATTTTACTTTTTGGCGGAACCAGGGATTGAACTCAGGCCCTTAAGCAGCACTTATTCTATTGAGCTATCTCCCCGGCCCCTCCTTTTGTGTTGTTGTTGTTTTGTTTTTGGCTACTTCGGGCAGGTCTGGCACAACTTGTGGAGCTGGGACTTGAACCGTGGTCCTATGCACCTGCCTGCATTTACCCAAGCAAGCGCTTTAAACAACTGAGCTGTCCAGCAAATCCTCTCTAATACTGTTTTTAAAGAGCAGCTTCAGAGCAAGCAGTACAGAGCCCTCCTGCGCGCCACCGGCCGCGCTCATCGCACGCACGCACTCTCCCTCCCCACACCCCCATGGGAGAGGCGTATTCCTTCAGGCACTCGCTCTCGAGAGGTTCACCAGAAGCGCCGGCACGCTGCCTGGTTCTCCCTCACTGCTAAGCTACCTCTGACCCTCCGATAGTTTCTTGTTTGGGCCCACAATAGCAGAGACCTGTTGTTCTGTGTATGCCTAGCGTCAGGCACTATGTTGTTGGCAGCAGGGCAAACTAGTACAGCCCTTATGGAGATCAGCATGGAGAGTCCTCGAAAAAGTAAAACTTGGGGCTCTGCGTGACCCAGCTATTTCCTTCCTAGAGTCCAAGACACCGTGTTGCAGTGGCCCATGCACGTGCATGTGCATGGTGCACAGCCCCTAAGAGCCAAATCTGGGAGGCAGCCTCTACGTCTATCAGCTGTGAAGAGATAAGACGTAGCATTTCTATGCACGGAGCACCACTCTGCCACAAAGAAGGCTAAACCTGAATCATCTGTAGGAAAATGGAGGGCCCAGAAATCAGTGTTAAGTGAAATAAATAAGACACAAAGCTTAATACGGCATTTTTTTCCTATATAAGAACCCCAAAGTATAAACAAAGAGCAAATGAAAAGGTACATAATGGAAAACAGGAATATAGACCTTTCTGAAGTGAAGAGGCAGTCAAGAGATGGAAGAAGGGACCAAGGAGGGAACTGTACAGGAACTGAGACGTGTTCTGTACGTGGACCAACTCCCACGAGGAATATAATTTTTATGCACCACAAACATGGACTAATAAAAATGAAAATTAGAGAGCTATCTGTCAAACAAAACACATGGTGAAATGCCAAGTTGGGTCACAGACTGACAGCACAGCTGTGGGCTCCAGGGCATCAGCTATGCCTACAGGTCCCTCCCCGGGAAGAACTGCGAGGGCAGGTGCCGCTGCAGCCCTGAAAGACAGCTGCAGGGCAGGGAGGCGGAGCCACCTGTCCTGGGCTCACTGCAGGCAGCTGCACCTCAGCACCGCCCCACTGCCTACAGGCACCCATGCGCTGGCCTTGCTTCCCGAGCCGCCTGCAGCTTGACCTCCGGTCCTGCACGCACGGCACCTGCCTGCGTTCCCACAGCTCCTCCACACAGTGGCCCGCTCGCCCTCTGCTTTGAGCCGGAGCAGGGTTTCCTCTACAGGAGGCTCATCTTGCTCACCCTGGCTCAGGACTTCTGTCCCCTGTTGGCCTCGGAGGAGGGAGACTTGAATCCTGTCTCGGCCCCCGCACCGGCTCTGTTCCACCTGGCGAACACAGCCACTTTGCCCTGACTGCAGGCCTTCCCAGCAGCCCTCGGGATCCCTGCCCAGGCGACAGGCCAGGCCTGTGGAGTGCTGCCATTTCAACTGTACCAGAGGGTGGGGGAGATGGCTCAGTGGAATAAGCGCTTCCCTGGCAAGCGTAGGGGCCTGAGTTCAATCCCCAGTTCCACCAAAAAAAAAAAAAAAAAAAATCAACTGTACCAGAAACGTACGGCTGGGGCGCAGGAGTCCCAGGAGACTGTGTGCTGCCCGGGAGATGCTGGCAACGTGCTGGCTAACTGCGTGGAGAGTGTGTTCCCCACTCAGGGTGCACTCGCGTGCCCACTTAGGACCTGGCCACGGAAGGCCGATGACAGGACTCAGCTCAGCAGTACCCCACGAGCTTTGCCAGGGTCTGCAGAGCAAGGGCCGGCCTATGGGACCCACGCTATGCTTGGGTAGCTGGAGCGGACAACAGGGATAAGTGTAAATAAACTTCGCTACAGGTCCCTCTTACAAGTGCCTTTCCTGTTTCAGCAATTGGCCATCCTAAGCCTGGGAATTTCATACAGTGAAGCCATTAGAAGAGTGACAGAGGAATCAGGAGCCAAATAAAAATGCAGACCGTACATGAACAATGGCAGGAAAGCACTGCCCACGCCGCCGCACCCTCGGGGAGTGCACAAGCAATGGGAATAAGCAGGGTGACAGGGTGTGTGTGGGGTGACTTCAGTGCCCAGGGAGTTCTGGGAGGGCCTAGCAGGAGCCCAGGGCACAGCCCTCCCTGATCTGTAGTGGACGGGCAGGCCTGAGGGCAGCAATACTCGGGCTCTGCCCTTCTTGGTGTCCTCCAGTCTCTGTCAAGGTCTCACATGGGCTGGTCCTGCTCAGGAACAGAGGAGGCTGGAGAAACGCCCTGCAGGGGGACTGGGGGCGCCCACCCGGGGAGAGGCCCAGGGACTGTGGCAGGAGGGCGGGCAGCTCTGGGATGCAGGGGAGAGGGCGGGCGCCCACGGCCTGCACACCTCGCCTGCTTCCTGTGTCCTCCACATGTGTCCTGAGGAGGACGCCCCTAGTCGTCTAGCCTCCTGTCCCTGCTGGGCACACAAAACTGGTTGTATCCCTGCAGGAAAGGCATAGGGGGCTCCCAGAGCTGGGAGGGAGAGAGAGAGAGAGAGAGAGAGAAGGAAGGGAGGGAGAAAGTCTCCCTGTTTTTGTCTCCACTTCTCTCTCCCCTTGCATCCTGTCTTCCACTATAACCAAATCTCCTACTTTAAGTCCCACCCAGATTTTGGGCTGACATCATGTCACGGTGATGACTTGTGTCATCAGCTCGGCAGCGATTCCTACTAGCACGATGGCACAGGATGGATGCACTGTGACCACAGGAGCTGTAGTTTCTACCCTAGCGGTAGGGGGATGGGGAAGGGAATTCGAGAAGCCAGCCAAGAGGTAATCAGCACCATAAATCACTCTGGCTCATGAGGTAATGGTTGTATTTCAGGTATTATAAGGAATAAAAGGAAAAGATACAGTAAATGCCGTCTTTAGGAAGACTATAGCCCTGTTAGGAAGATAGGATTAACAGAGTGAAATCATTAAAGGTCACTGCAAGAACATACCAAATGATACACATCACACACTAATGAAGTGCAGATTAATCATGTAGTAGTTTATCTAATATTTATGCAGACCTACCCTAGAGACTTTCCTGAGGTTCTGAATTTTTTTTTAACTACAGAAATCATATTAGCTTCCATGTCAAAAAGGTTTTTATAAACACAAGTTACAGCCTCCAGGTCATATTCTACTAGTTGCAGAGAATGAGGACACGGCTTAATCTAATTTAAACTTATCAATAAACTTTGTTTATCCTTCTCGGTGTTTGTTTGGAGAATGCTTTCATCCCAAGTATCTCGGAAGCAGGAACGTGAAAGACAACAAATTTTACAAAGACACTTTTCCTGTATGTGCTCCTCCTTTTAGGTTGCTTAAACTTTAAAACAGGCAGACACAGAGTGGGTTGTCCCTTCCCAAATACCCTCATCCCAGGGTCCCAGAAGTCACGTGGCAGAGGGGTCATTGTAGTGAATAAAAACATCATCCTGCTGGCACTGCAAGGCAGATGGCAGGGTTTGACTTAGAGGAGGTGTTGGCTAAATTACTCCCAAGGACTTTGGTAGTACACCTCCCCGGAACAAAGAGCCCAGACCTCTCGTCCTCCTGCTTTTGCATGCAGGCTTTGCTTATTGACTCACTTCTGACAAACAGAGCGCGGTGAAAGGAAAATCCTGCACTGCTCACGCTAGATCCAAAAAGGACTTGTGCGGCTCTTGCCCCGACCCCACCTCCTCACAAGTAGGCCCAGGCCCTGCTCTGCTTCCTGAGCCACAGTCTCCACTCCCAGAGCGCCAGGGACAGAGGGCACCTCCTTCCAGACCGCCAGACATGGGTGTGCTGCTGAGGAGTGGTGCCTTCTCTAGGTCTGCTGATTTTGTGCCCTGTCACACAGAAGACCTTCAGAAGGAAGTCACAGCTGGATAACAACTGAAGTGTGGAGCCACCAGTGAGGGCCCAGAGGGGCTAGGCAGCTCCATCTGCCTGCTGTCTTACCTTGCTGCCCCCAAGGCCTGGGGCACCAAGGGAGAGGGGGTGTCAGGCACCGCGGGTGGGGTGTCTGTGAGCCGAGGTGACCACTGAAAGCTCTGTGCTGAGTCTGGCAAGCTGAACCTTCAGTGAGGAGTAACTCACTCGTGAGACAAAGGAAGCAAAGCTCACTTCCAAATGGGGAGACAGCGACCAGAGAAGCACGGAGGCAGAGGGCACGGCGCCCGCTGGTCCACGTCGAGGAGGAGGGTGGGACCCGGCTTTGGCCTCTGCATGTTATCTCCTAGTTTTATAGCAGGTTCAGGCCTCACACAGCTCACAAAAGTGCATGCTCCCAAAACAGACAGGTGACGGTGGCTTTGCCCCAGACCTATGCTCCAGACACTGTCTTGGGACCCTCCCATCACCCCTCAGCCCTCCTCTCTTTTCGCTGTCACTTCCTTCATGGTGACTGTGTCACCACCACTTCCTGCTTCTCTTTTGTGTGTTTTTGGAAGGAGATCTCTCTCTCTCTCTCTCTCTCTCTCTCTCTCTCTCTCTCTCTCTCTCTGTCTCTGTATATTTTTGTCTCTGTCTATCTGTCTATCTGCCTGTCTGTCTATCTTAAAACTGTTGAAATTTGGTGAAAGCCAACCCAAAAGGTCTCATTGTGCTACACAACCCGTTAGTGGCAGAGACAAAACATTAAACTGCTAAATACACATTGTCTCATATGGTAGGGTGACCAGCCATGCCCAAGAGCTTAAAGCTGACATTTACAGCTGTGAGGTTCCTGTAGGTACCTTGGGCGTCCTATGTTGATGACTCCTGGATATTCTCAGGATTGCCTCTGACCGCTGTCCACGTGAGTACAGCACAAAGAGCACCAGCCCCACACACCAACCTACACGTGATGCCACTGCTCCCCAGAGGGAGGCATCATTTTCTAACTCTTTAAACTGGAAGTGGCACTTTTTCAAAAGAGAGTGAGTTGGAAGAGCCCCTAACTTCCTCCGCCAGCCAAGCAGATGTGGCTCTTGATAAACACTTTGTACTTAGCTCAATTTCTCAGGGATCTGGGATCTGGGGAGTAATTAAGAAGCACCGAGGAATCTATGGGGCATCACCAGGGCATTATTCCCACTTTCATCACTGGGGAAACAGGACCCCTGTGCCCTGTCCCCTGTCCCCTTCTCACCCACAGGAGGAGTGGCTGGACTTACCTCGCTCTCCTGGGCTCCCTGGCAAGCCTGCATTTCCGGGGAAGCCTGGGGCACCAGGGGGTCCTTGTTCGCCAGGGGTTCCGGGGGAGCCAGGCCTCCCAGGCTCCCCAGGCGGTCCCTGGATGGTCCGGATGGATGAGGACTGGCTGGGGATCTGGTTGAGGATGGCCGTGTACCTGGCCATGTGGCCTGTGGCAAGAAGCACAGGGGTGGCATTGGGTGAATGGCCACGGACCCAGGGAAGATGGGGGTCATTTTTTAGGGATCTGGGTCACCCTGTCACATGTCTAACAGGCGAAAAGCATGCCCCTCTGACATGCTGCTCTCCAACTTGAGATCTTTACACTTCTCTTCAGATGAGATTACCCCTGGAGTTCATTCAAGGCCCTCTCATGGACTTGGAATTCCCTGGCTCGAGTCCCGTTGTAATCAACATCTCTGAGCAGCAGTCGTAAATCTCATCCTCACCCCGACATTTATCTGACCCCTCTCCCTGCCCAGCTGCCCTCTCTCTAGCAGCACCCCCCCCCCCAGTTCTTCAGTTTCTAGCTCCACCAGCTCGCTCCTCCCTCTACACAGCCTCCTGCCTTCTTTCCCTTCGGGGACCCCAGACAACGCTTGGGGCCCAGCTGCAGAAATTCCTACCAGCACTACGAAGCAGACAAATGTGGAGCTCTTCCTACAGCCCTTAGTCCACTTTCGCCAGGGAGGATGGAGCAAGAACGCGCTTGGGAGCAGATGTGCGGGATTGCCCCACTAGGCGGGACACGAGACTTTCTTACCTACCCCAATTCTAGGCCACTAGTATGTGTCCTCTAGCACACATTTCAATCTAAGTAAAAGAGGGCAACCATGCTTTGAGGGAAGCCCAACAACTGCCCGCAAATCCTTTTCCTCACTCCTTGGCCTGTGACAGTGGCTAGGGACCCTCTGTGATGACAGGGGCTGTCTCAGGCAGCCCGTGGCTGGGCAGGTGAGATGGTTCTGCAGGGCTTTTCAGCATCCTCCCCTCTGTCCCACTGCCAGCGGTCGCCCCTCCTTCCTCAGGCCTCCCACAGTCTCCTGTGGAACTCAGTGTGATTCTTCTGATCATGCAGGAGGGGGGCACTGGATGCCTGGGCTTGCAACAGCTATGCACTAGGCTATTGCTGAGGGGGCTTGAGGAGCAGAGCAAGGAGCAGGGAAGCCGAGGCACCGCTTGGCAGGAAGATGCCAATTGGGCAGCAGTGTGGCACAGTGGGCTGGGGACAGCCTCTGCTACCTCCTTCTCTTATGTCTGTGCTGACACATAAGGTCTCCCTAGTTTACAGACTGCTCAGTGCAGCCCTCTGGTCTGAACTCCCAGCTCTGAGTTCTAGAAGACGTTCATGAGAACCTGAGCTCCCCAGGGGTGAAAAATCAATTTCCAACTCTCAGGTTTTAGGGTAAATAATCACAGATCCAAGCAAGGTTTTCATTGTACAGTGTAATAAAGCAGCAAAATATTGTGAAATTCCTCTTGTGGTCACAGGGTCATATGAAGATTTTACCCCTTCTGTTTTTGAACAAGAACATCACTCCTAATTAATTAATCTATGAATTAATTGAGGGTATAAATTAGCTTTGGGTGCATTCTATAATGAGTGACTGAACTTCAGTTTCTTCTTACAACGTATTATTTGTAAGGTCCCTATTTATTTTGGCAGTGAACATTTCATTTAATTAGCTTTCATTTCATTGGCAGAGTTCTCTCCCATACATAGTTAATTTAAGCATTAAAATATATAATTAAAAGGAAAATACAAGGAGCAGGGCAGGCGTGTCCTGCATTTGACCCAGGACGCCAAGTCTGCACCTCCTCAGAGAGATCTGGGTTTGCAACAGCGGAAATTCTGCACGTGGCCAATCCCACCTGCCTGGACACCTGCAGGGCTCCTCCAGCCTACCCAGCTGGCTTCCCCAGATTCAATGGCCCTAAGCTGATGAGAATGTCAGCCTGGCCGGGCACAGACAGCTGAGACGCTAGAGCTGGGTGACGCGAGATGAAGATTTTGTCTGTATCCAGCCTCTGACCCATCGAGAACTGGGAACGAATTACTGGAAAAGAGAAGGCCCACCCCAGCAGCCCTCAGGTTAGATTACTGGGACCAACTGGACAGTTGGTGGGCACAGCAAATGGGCAAGGAGAGAGTGTACAGTGAACAGGTGGGTCAGTCATCGAAACTCGGCACAGGCTGAAAGTTCAAGTTTAAAATGGAGAAATGGATGGCATGATATCAAATGTGTTCTGGTATGATTTCTGGCGCAAAACCCAAGCATCACACCTACTGCCACATCAACCCTATCACTGTGTGTGTGTGTGTGTGTAAAGCCTAAGGACGAAAGGCGAGGCCCTGGGCTACCCGAAGACAGCAGACTTGAAGGGGCACTAGGGAGATACTGGTCTAAGTCTTGGGAGGCACCAGAGCACCACACCGTGGAGCAGCCTGCTGGAGGGAGACTGTGGACACTGTCCAGCGGCCTTCAGGGGCTGAGCACTTATGCAAAATGCCTGTCCTCCTGCAGAGAAAGGAAGGAAGCGCTGCGATCACAGAGAGGCTAGTAACATCCACCGCGGCAGCCACTTGCTCTTGAGGAAGGGCCTGGCTGGGCTGCCTCACCGCCGCCAATGTACAGCCACAGAGCTCCTCAGGGGTGGCAGGCTTAGAGTACAGAGGTACAGCTGCACCAAGATGAAGCTAAGAGGTGGTGCCCTGGTTGCTATGGTGACGGGGACGGGCCACTCCCAGGGAACAGGACCTAGCACCCTCCGTGCACTTACTCTGGATGAGCTGCTCACACACTTGCCGCGCCACCGCCCTCACCATGGCTTGTGACTGCAGGTCACCCTGGCGAGAGAAAGCGATGCTCAGCACGGCCGCACTCGGGCACCGCCAGCACTCCGCGTGCGGCCACCCGCGCAGGCCCGGTGCCCCAGCAGGCTCCACGAGCCCTGGAGCAGGGTGTAGACAACAGCACGGGCGCAGAGGTCTGGGCGGGAAACACTTCTGGCCTCAGACGCTAGAAATACTAAGTTTGAAATAAATTCATATATTTAACATCTTCCTGACAATTCTTAGAGCTTATACAGCACCTCGCTTCCTCAAGCAGCGGCTTGCCGGATACACATCACAATTCAGAGCAGAGATGCTAAGCCCATTTCCTAGCTAACTGGCCTGAACACATCGCCCAACTTTACACAGAAGTGAGCAGAGGAGGCTAAAGCCAGCGAGCGCTGTCTCTACTCAGGCCAATCACCGTCAGGTCAGTGGCTGCACAGTTCCCAAAAGGAGAACAGCCGCCGAAATAAACCCGTTCAAGTATGGGGCGGGTTCTCTGCTTCCACGTCTGCCTCGTCTTCCAGGGTACCAATACTGGACCATCTGGAAAAACAGGAATCCCGTGCTACTGCTTGGCCTTTCTATAAAGCTAGTTTTTTGTTGTTTTCTAAAATCCTTGTACGTCAGTTATATAGTTTTCTTGTCAAATCCACTTTGCGCGGGAGGTGAGTTTCATTCTCTCCTTTTTCTCCTTAAAGAACTGGACAGGGGTCACGAAGCTGGGGGTTTGCAGATCCAGGACTGGAAATGGGCCCTCCCTGCACCACTCCTGCACGCTCCTCAGGGGCTCCGGGGAGGGATGGGAAGGGGCTGCGCGCAGCGGGAAGCGCCTGTTAGCTCTGCACGGCCCTGCGGCCAGCCGGCAAGCCTAGCCCGACACTTACTCGCTCGCCTCGCTCTCCCTTCGCTCCAGGGACACCCTGTAAAGACAAAAACCGTTGTCTGGTTATGAACGCAGCTGCGCTCAGCCCAAAGGTCATGACTGCACACTTTTCCCAACTCTGTTTAAAATGGTTACGCAACAACAGGAATAAATCACACAGCAACCTGGCCAGCCTAAACGGCTCTGTTCAGTGTCTTCCCCCTTCAGCCCGTCTTCTTAAGCTATGAGCTCAAATTGCGCAGTCACGCTGCGTGGCGATGCCGTTTCACGGAACAGGGCTCCCCACCCAAAACGCCACCCTAGGCATTGAACACTGCCGATGTTCCGTGGCTGACTGCAGGACTCTCCGCTGAATGGCTAACTTGTTCCAAGTTTAAAGAGACTATTAAAGGAAACAGAAGGACTCCTCTTACTGAAATCATCGTACCACAGCCTCCCTCTTCTTCCCACTGGGTGTGATGATTCTCCAGAATTCCCCCAACACAGGGGTTCCTGAGGGCATGAATTCTCAGCAGAACTGTTATTTGATTATCCTGGGCCCATAAGAAAGTGCTATGATTGTGCAAACATTACTGAGTGAAACAACGGTGCTTGGAGTATTTCTTCAATAAAATTACACATATAATGCAAAACAGGTGTTTTCAGAAAGATGCCACAGTTTTGTCTCAACTCGGGGCACTGTCATCCACGCCACTAAGAGCGGCGTGAAGGGACTCACGGACGCAGCAGGAGGCACCGTCCACTGGCCCCGCTGATACTTCAGTTTCAGCTGGTTCTGAAGCTAACTGGGCCTGCTTTCCAAACTGCAAAATTCTGAGGTGGATCCATGGTGTCCAGCGACAGCAAATGCCCTGGTGTGTGTGTGCGTGCGCGCGTGTGTAGATTGTGAGTCCCTGCTGATTTCAAGCCACAAATACGCAGCCATGGAAGCAGCAGTGGGAAAAAGAGAGGAGCACACCGTGGTCCCCCTCACAGGCTGCAGCGCGGCATGCGGAGGAGTCTTTTCTCCTCTCATCCCCGCCCTCCACATGTTCCCCAGCACAAGCGTGCGTGCACACACATGCATGCACACACACACAGGCACACAGGCATAGGGCTCTCTGTGTCACACCAGGGCACTGGCAATAGCCTTCTAACGGCCTTCCCAAGCTAACGCTTTCTTTTTTCTCCACATGGCTACTTTATATTTGAACAACTTGCCGATTTGTGTTTCATTTCAACTACCCTGATGATAAACGAACAAACAAACAAAAAAAAATCCAAAAGAAAAATATTTAAAACATAGGGGCTGGCCAAATAGCTCAGTGGATTAAAGCGCTTGCAAGCAAGATGGGGGGGATTACGATCCCCAGCCACCCCGCCCCCAGGGCACGCTGACACAGCAATGGAGACTGGGCGTGGTGGCACACACCTGTAATCCCAGCTCTTGGAAGGCTGTAAACAGGCGGATCACTACGAGGCTGATCTAGTAGCAAGACCCTGAACACCCTGTAGATCCTTCCTTAAAAAAGCAAAAACAAAAACACATATGGCACTGGTTTCTAGATCGGAAAAAATGTTGATTCTGTTTTAAAATAACTTACTCTTGATTATAAAAGCTTTTTTTTTTTTTCTAACAAAGTGAGACTCGCACAGCACTGTCCCCACACCAGCACTTTCTGTCTCTCAAAGTAAACGTGCTGGCCACACTCACCGCTCGTGCCTCATGGCTCCGTGGAGGACGCGGCCCGAAAGAGGCGGCAGGATCTCGCTCCAGCCTGAACTTGGAGCTACCTGTCTCACTGCCGATACGAGCCCCAAGGAATCCTCTTCAGGCCGGAGACACAAGACAAAACAAAACCCGACACAAGAACAAACATTCTCCAAATTCTTTGAGGGCTGGGGAGATGGCTCAGAGGAATAAGTGCTTCCGTGGCAAGTGCAATGGTCTGATTCAATCCCCAGTTCAAAAAAAAAAAAAAAAAAAAAATCTCTCCACATTCTTTGAGACATTAAGGAAGCCTAAATTCTAGCAGCTATGGCGCCTATATTGGTTTTACCATCTTCTGACCATAGTTCTGGGCACTTCAAGGTGACAACTCAGTTAATTCTTGTTACTGCCTCATGAGACAACTCCCTGAACCCTTGTGGCACTTCTGTAAGATTAACTTGTGGGCCCTTACAACGGCCCTATGCCACAGTGCATCCACTTTACAGATTCCAAAAAGAGTGTGTGGAGAGTTTAAGTCACCTGTCCAGGGTTCCATAGTGAGGACCTAGAAAAGCTGGGGCTTGAGCCCGGATTGCCGGGTCCTGAGTCCGGGGCCTTCACACTCACGCTGCTTGACCCATCCGCGGGATCCTACCTCCCAGTCCAGTGAAGACCAGTGCTTCTTCATTAAAACAGACACCCCGCACCTCCAGCTTACTTCTAGCAACTCAAAATTGGGCTTTAGCTTTGGTCATTTTAATTTTATTTCTGTACCAAGACATCTTTGGACATTTCCACCCCTACCATTTAGTGTATTGGCCTGTTTGGGAATGCTTCAAATTTAGAGAAAGAAATTACAGTGCAAGTCTGATGGGCAGAGCAAATGGGCAGCATCTGCTCTTGGCCCTTTCTGGAACGTGCCAACGGATGTGTGTAACTGGACCTGAAATTCCCCAGCGCAGCCTCATGATGCAGGCCACTGAGGGCCAAAGGACACAAGCAGGCAGTCGCAATGAAGGATCTTTTTAGTGAAATATCGGTGCAGCAAAAACTTATTTTTATTCCAACCTCTCCAACATCTTTCCTTTGATTTTTGCAAAGTAAAACAAAAACAAAATAAAAATTCCTGAGCAAGTGAAGGCCCATAATTCTACCAAAGTATGCTTTGAGGGAAAACAGATAGACCCTGTAGAGGCAGACAGGAAGAGAGGAACACTTTCCTCTAACTTCAAGAACATTTGAAATGTAAAGAAAAGAAAATACAGTAGCTGCATTCATAGATTCAGAGTTTGCTGCTGGAAGAGCTGCAACCTCACTGCGCGAGTCCCACATGGCAAGAAAGCCTGTGAAAATGAATCAGAACACCGTGGGCAGCTTGAGGGGAGCTTGCTGCTCTGCCCCTTGCTCCGCAAGAATACTGGTAGCGCCTCCTTGAGCCCACCTAGCCAGAGGGCCAACACAGCCTGTTCTTTCTTCATCTTATATAGTAAGCGCTCTACATACCAGATATGGAGCTGAGCCCCAATCACAAGCTAAGTAGGACAAGGCGCCTGTCCCCAGGTGAAGAGAGACACCAACAGCCACAAGGGCAAATTAGGTGAGCATGGTTGTGATGGTTTAGACCTAAAACATCTTCCCAAATTTTCCTGTGTGTGGAAGGCCACTGGAACGTGGGGCGCTGTACTATATCCATCCATGGATGAGTTCAGGGCTGGAGGACTGTGAGGGTGGGGGCCTGGCTGGGGTGGTCACAGGGGGCTACTTGTTTTCCTGTCCCTGCTGCCCCCTCCTGTCCCTGTGTCTGGCTGCTGTGAGCCGAGCACCTTTTCTTCCCCCATGTCTTCCCACCATGCTGTTTCTGTCATGGAGTTGGCCAGCCTCAGACCAAAGCCATGAGCTAAATACACCTCTGCTTCTTTAAGTCATAGTACTAGGTCTGGGGACCCAGCAACAGGAAAGTGGTTGCCACAGTGGCTTCACGTGGTCTTAAAGAAAGTGCAGCCTAGCATTAGTCAGGCAGTGACAGGGGAAGACAGCAACCCTGAAAGGCAGCAGGAACCTGCAAAGGCCAAACAGTGGAGGGGAGATACAGGACGATGGGCACTCACAGAGCTTCAAATGATTCACTGAGAAGCAACACCAAGAGAAAGGTGATGACAAATTGGGTTAGAGAAGTGAAGGCCACTGGGGAAGGCCACATGTACCACACAGAACACGTGGGACCCGGCTGTGGACCAGACAAGGACCACTGAGAGGCAAGGGACCAACAAGGCATCTTGTGATGGCCTCTCTGACAGAGGAGAAGGGCCTGTAATCAGGCTGGCGACTAAGACAGAGTGACAAGTGGAGAAATGCGTGAAGGGCAGGCAGTGTCCTCTTCTCTGCTTTACTACATTCCTCCCCCAATGTCTTAGCCACTTTCTCATTGCTGGAACACAGTACCAACACCCACAAGCTAAAGGAGGGAAGTTTTATTTTAGGGCATAGTTTGTAGAAGTTTCATTCCATAGTTGGCTGGCTCCAAGCAGGGCAGCTGGGCAAAGCAGCATCACAGAGGAGAAACAGTGCATGGCAGGGTGGGCAGAAGGCAGCGGCAGCAACAGCAGCAGCAGCAGCAGCAGCAACAGCAGCAGCAGCAGCAGCAGCAACAGCAGCAGCAGCAGCAGCAGAGGGTCTGCTTTGTTCCCTTTTCCTCCACACAGGCCACAACCTTTTGAGTGGTGCCACCCACACTCAGGAGGCGTTTCTGTCTTCAGTAAGCACGCTCAGTCACACCCAGAACTATGCTAATTCCAATCAGCAGGCTAATGCAGTACCACACACTCTTAAGGCCAGTTTCACATACCCCAGATCCAGGAGGAGCCCCGCCTATGATGCATCGGGCTTTGGGGGACATCTAGATATACAAGACAGCACCCAAGACAGGCCCAGTTTCTCTGACTTTGTGGGTAAGAATTCTACTTATGTGAAGATCTCACTGAAATGTGGCATCCTTCTGGAGCTACTTCTTTCTCTCTCTCTCTCTCTCTCTCTCTCTCTCTCTCTCTCTCTCTCTCTCTCTTTCCTTTGAGGCATTTCACACTTCTTGCAATCTTGTCATATTGCACCTACGCATTGCATATTTTAGTTAGGAATCTGATTTCTGAAAAGCTGGATGATCACGCCAGTGACTAAGCTCCCACAGCTAGATAGTGTCATGTCAGAGTCCCATCTGCAACCCTGGCACCCTGAATTCTGCCAGGGAGCTCTGTAGGTAATGCAGACAGGGCTTCCGTCACTGAGGGCAGCAGGCTGAACGCACAGCCTCACCACAAGCAGCTCCTTCCTTCTCAGCTCGCATGGGGCCTCTGTCGTGCAGGTGGCACCTAAGCACAGGTCGGAAGCGGGCCCCCGGAGCAGCGGCCACGTTCTGCTCTGTGCAGCTGGCGACAAGAGGCAGAGAGCAAGCACTACTGGTGCCAGCTGAAGGAGGCCCACTGCTAATGCCAGTGGCACAGGCCACACCTCTTGGGCTCCTTCCTGCGCCTTCCTAGACAGACATCCATGGGAAATCGATCAAGGCCTCAGCTCTGTGCAGCATCGCCTGCTTTCACAGTCTTGCCAGCCTGGCAGCCAGCAGGCCTGTGGGAGCTGGCAGCCCAGACACAGGGGAAAGCCCCAGCTGGCAACTAAGGAACAACTTGCCTCTGACAGGAAAATCCCAAGCCTGCCATGGCGTCCCCACCCAGCACAGAGGCACCAAATGGCTTCTGCCTCTGATACAAGCAAGTGGAAAAAACACAAGGGTTTTGTCATGTCCCCCATGTAGAGTCTAATCTGAGCCACAAAAGGCCAAGTGGGTAGACAAGATGGCGCCATGTTTGCTTGCGTGTTCCATGAACTCAGCCCACTGGAACTCTCTCAGGCCCCAGGGCCTGCTCTTCTCTCTTTAGCCCCTTCCAATTCCATCCTGTGGACAGGAGTCAGCCCCTGGCTTACTCCTTCCAAGCTTAGGACAAGGAAAAGCACTTTTAAGAGATGCCAGTGAGAATCATAAGATCTCCCCATATGCCAGTACGTACGTTTATTGACTATCTAACCAAGTTAAGCCAGTGCCTTGGTATTTCCTTGGTTTAGGGGATGTACAAAGCTTCTGGTAGCCCGACGGCCCTGTGACTTTCTTGGTTGAAGCCTGCATTGCTTCTGACACTTCTCTGCCCACGGCCCCTTTGTCCCTAAGCCCTGCCAATGTGTTCTCCATCTCTGCTTCCCAGGGATACATTTTAGGAAGCAGACCAAAGCTTTGGAGCAGAGAAGATGCTCCTAAGTCCTTCTGGTATAGAACAGCCTAGTAGTGAAAGAGCAGGTATGCTGATGTGGAAAGGCTTATCGAGACAGGAGAGGGTGTGCATGTGAGTGTGCATGTGTATTTGCAAGACCTCAGACATGAATTTCTGCGTATGTTTCTATGTACAGGATCATACTTGGTCATGCCGTCTGGGGCCAAAAATACATCTGAAGATAAAGCAATCCAGTCTTCTTCTGAGATATGATACTAGTTTGGTTTGAAAAGAGAAGTAAAACTGCTGTGAACAATGGTGCTGGAGTGAACACATGGCTCGTGAGGTGCTGAGTAGGCACAGCACTGTGCACGCGTAAGTTAGGGTGCACATGCAGGAATCCAGGTGTGCGTCTGCGTGTGCTGTGTGTGCAGGCATGTGCATCGGAATCCAGAAAAGGCCTCTGCACATGGATCAGTTTTACTGAAATGGGTTTAAAGAATGAACAGCTAGACCGACTTGGTAGAACGACGAGGAGAGCTGTCTTTCCAAATAAGAATCAGTTTGTTACATTTTATTCCCTTTGTAGGCAGAGGGGAAAAAGCTTCCCCCAAATCTGCGCACTCAATCCCCAAAACCTGTGACTGTGTCACTTTATATGGCAAAATGGACTTTGCAAATGTCCTTTAGTCAAGGAGTACAGGATTCTCTAAGATTCCCTGAGGTTTTTTTTTAAAGATGATCTAGGTAGGCTTAGTGGAATCACAGGGATCCTTTTTGTCTGTCTGTCTGTCTGTTTTTGAGACAGGGTTTCACTGTATAGTTCAGAATGGCCTTGAACTTGTGGCAAGTCTCTTGCCTCAGCCTCCCGAGCTCTGGATTACAGGCATGCGCCACCAAACAGAATCCTTTCCAGCTGTGGCCTGGGGCAGAAGGGTCAGAGAGATGCAGCATGGCTGTCTTGAGAATGGAAGACGCACAAGCCAAGGGCTGGGGGCCACATTTAGAAACTAGAAGAGTCATGGAACTAGTGCAGCTCTGGAGGCGAGTCAGGTAATCACCTCCTTCTACGGTGAGCAGATGGGCCGAGGTTGTTCACCGGCCTCCTGTACATCCTCCTCCTGCCCATGCCCACCGCTCTCACATAGGCACTGACCTAAGGGGAGCAATGAGTCCAGGCACAGAGGCTCATTTGGTACCACTCTTCACCTGCAGGTGAGTATGTGTTTTCATGAAAAATTTAATCCTTCTGGTAGCATTCAGGAAAAAAATCTATTTTCACTCATGAAACCTTGACTTGTTCAAACACTGATTTTTCCCTTTGTGAATTAGGTTTAACTAATACCTAACCTGTGATAGACAATATTTGTAAAAATGACTGTGAGTTTACTTAAGAAAATACAGAATGCAGGCGATGAAAATATACGTGAGCGAAAGCTGGACTGACGGCTCCTTGAGGACTTCGTGACTCCACAAGCGCAACCCAATCTGAAACCTCATCTTGAAGTTTCTCTGGTTTTCTTTATGGAATCCCGCAGGGCCCAACACTAAAGTAAATTTCTAACCAGCGGAGGTGCAGGTAAATTTAGACCATACAGCACGACAGTGGAGCGCCAATGTGACCAGCGCCTGCATGTGATACTCACAGGTGGCCCCAGGGCGCCTTGTGGTCCTGTGCTGCCTGTGACCCCAGGCACTCCGGGTGCTCCAGGAATGCCCTGAGAGAGAGAGAGAGAGAGAGAGAGAGAGAGAGAGAGAGAGAGAGTCACACATTCTCATCTAGGACAACCTATAAGCACAAGTCCAAATACAGTGAGAGCACACCTCCTCCTTACCACCAAAACTTTAGGCTTCTGTGCTCATTTTTGTCCCAACTACCAAAAGGGAGGTTTTTTTAAGTCTCCATACTCTTATTCAGATACGGATATCTTACATGTAAATCTTATTGTGTCCAAAATCAGTGCAGGTGGCCAAATGGCCCACAGAATAATCAAGCTACTGTCACATCTTATTTTTAAAGGATGTCTGAGGATGAGTTCAGAGCCAAGGGACAAGCTGGTGCTCCCACAGAAACGGTGGCTGCTGAGCGCAAGATCTAGCAGAAAAACATTTCTCAAAAGTAATGAAGAGCTTAACACTGGCACACCCCAGTGGCTTTCAAAAATACTTACGATTGGCCCTGGGGGTCCTGGAGGGCCAGAGGAACCGTCCTTTCCTGGAAATCCCTGGGGACAAAGAATATTTTGTGTCAACCGAGGGGTTGCTTTCCACGGCTTTCAGAACAGGCTGGCCGAATTCCCTTTGCTACGTGGGAGGCAAGTCTAGAGGCTTCCTCTGCACTAACAAGGGTTCTCTGCTTTGGACTCTTCCTGGGGATTGTTCTTGGCAAGACTCATGTGTCTGTTGGCTCCATCGAATCACCCAGCGCAAGCATTTCAGGTGTAAGAAATGCCACTTACAAACCTAAATGGAAATTTGTTTGCAGAAGGTGTTTCTATGGAACCAAGCACAACGTACGAGAACGAGGACTGAGGCTTGTTACTGCGTGAGCAGACAGACAGATGAGCTAGTATCTTTCTGGCCTGGCATCCCGCACAGGGAATGCCTGTGGGACGGAGGGGCGCTGGCCGCAGGACAGCTGCAGCACCTGAAATCCTGCAAGCCTTCGCTAGCGGCCCGTAGAGAACACGGTTGTGGGGCAGCTTCCAGCGTCAACCTGGGCAGGTCTGCTGAGTGTCTGCCTCCACGAGCCCACACACGGGGACATGCTTGCTTCCTGATCCACATTAGAAGGCTTACAGGCGGAAAATGATAGTGCTTGTAAAAATAAAAACAGCTTCCCTCAGTCATTGAAAGTGTGTTTGCGTGGGGGCTGTGTGACTTTTATGTGAGTATTTGAGTATTAAAAATCTGTAACAGTTGGAATGGCTTCCTCTTACGTGGTCATAGCTTTTCCTTGTGGCTGCTGAGCCGCCAATGGAGTTGGCACTACAGTTCATCTCAACCCCAATCTCTACGGGCCGGTTCATAAAATTTTGTTCAAAGTAGCCCCTCCTGCTCCGGGGACAGACTTGCCCCATGGGCTTTGGGTCACCCTGCAGTCGGGCTTCCCACCCCAGACCTACCTCGCCCTGCTTTCTTGACGTTTCTCTGACTCCCTTTCTGACATCGCTGTCTCCTTCCTTTTCTGTGAAACTCTATTTTCTAGTGATCCTACCTGCATTCTCATTCTGTCTCCCTCCACAAGGTGTAAATGAAAGATGGCAAGGTTGTGGCGGCAAATGTGAGTGGGAAGAGGCTCCTGGGGGGAGGCGCAAGGGGAGGAGACGATGGGGAGGGGGCACGCAGACGGAGACAGCGTGTGGTGTCAGCAAGGCCCTGCCGCGGTACTCTGGGCTTCTGGATGTTAGCCACCCTGACAGCAGAGCCAGCCGAGGCAGCCCCGGTCACTCACAGCCCGGTTTTCCTCTCAGGACCCATGGCTTGGTCACATCTCCTCACAGTCAGCTGGAGCCGCAAGCTCAGGGGCTGGCCAGTGGAAACCCTCCTGCTGGGCTGATCCTGCTGTGATGGGGTGGGGCTTATGTTTCTCTGGCTCTGTCTTTCTCTCTTACCGTGTGACACCTTTTGTCTCGTTATGACACAAAAAGAAAACCCTCCTCAGAAGCAGGCCCTGAGCCCTGGCCTTGTTGGCTTCCAGGACCACGACCAAATGCACTTCTATTCTTTATAAACTACCCTGTCTCACACCTGCTTTAGGTGCACACAAAGGACAACACAGGTGCACAGCATTCTTCTCTGTCTTCACGGGCTGTGCCGTCAGACCCCCCAGGACCACCCTAGACATCAGGCGACTTTGGCTCTGATTATGTCCTTTACGGTGGCTTCAAGCTTGGGGTCCTCCTGCCTCAGCTTCCCAAGAGGAGGGACTGCGGGCTGCACCCCTCCCCCAGCTCCGGGCAACTCTCACAAGGGAAACTGGGCCGCTCTGCCCCCTTCGCCCCAGGACGGGTGACAGTGGCAGCAGAAGCTGCTCACGTGAAGCCACAAATGTGATGGAAAGAGTGTTTTCGCAAAGTGCCCACATTTTATTATGGAAAGTAGTCGGCAAGCCCTAGCCTGGGATTCAATTTAGCTGTAAACAAAGGCCACTGAACTTGTTTTTCGGCCCCTGACAGCTAAACTTCTGTTCCCCTTTCCAAAACTTTTCTGTATCTATGAAATTTCCATTTTGCATCCAGCAGACAAATCTGAGAAGGCGTTTTTGTTTTTTGAATATGAGTGTTTATGAATTAAGCAACCTCATAAAAAGCAGAAATCCTTAATTAACAATAATGAAAATGAAGGAGGAGAAACTTAATGGGGATCTCTTAAGCCTACAAGCATGTGTTTTTGAAAATCGTAACACCAGCCACCCACAAAGGGGGATGTTCTACAACTTAAATAGCTCCAGGCATCTTTCCTTTTTATATTCTCACCTCAAAATACTAATATACACCCACAGCCCACACTAAAAATAATTTTTGTTGTAAAAACTTGAAAGGATTTTTATAGTTTGTTTTAAGGACTTTTGGTTCTGAGCAAATGCTTAAGTTATGATTAGCCATGGCTTGCCTGCAAAATAAAATATGACATAAGATGTGCTTTCAAAATTGCTACTATTCTTACAAATGTTAAATGTACCTATGGCTCAAAGTGGCAAAGCAATGTCTCATTTACTTAAACAGAGACTCCTTTGCATTTTCAGTTTCCTTTCCATGCTGTAAAACAAACACACTCTCCCCGCCCCAGGTCTGAAATGTTATTCTGCCGTCCTGTCTTTCTTGGAGGCAGTGCCTCTTGCTATGTAGTCCTGCTGCCTCAGCCCCCTGAGCGCTGGGGTTCCAGGCATGCCCCGCCTCACCTGGCTTGCCTGTCACCCTTTTCGAAGTTTACAGTCTCAGCTTACTCCTGCGGCACCTGAAGCAGGAAGGCCACCTGGCCACAGCTCACGGTGGCACCCAGGTTAGCCAGAAGCCAGCGCCCTCAGAACTCACGCACAGAGCTACGATCGTGCCACCAGCCACGACTCCTCTATTGGCCACGCAGGGCACGAGGGCCCATCCAGGGCTCTGGAACATGGCCAGCTGCCAAGCCCTCAGCTCCTGGCCCGATGCACGGGAGCCAGACTCAGGCAGAAAGGGCTGTAGCGGCCCCTGCAGAAAGCCCAGGGGCAGGCCCAGCCCTGCAGTAGACTGGACTGCCCTGCGCTGGCCAGGGTGGGCCATGGCTGTCAGAAGCAAGGCTGCCCTTGCAGCCATGGCTTGAGGCCAACCGCACCAGCGTAAGAGGCCAAGCAGCAAGAACACGACAGGCTCCCAGACACCGGCCTGGGCCAGCAACCCCAGAGCAGTCCTGAGGTGGGGCACTCGGGATCCCACTGGGGAAGCTTCAGCAACACACACACACACACACACACGTGCATGCACTAGACATGGATGTGCATGTGCAGTGTATGTGTGCACTGATATAAATGTGTACACTGTACTTTAATATATACTTATACACAACTTAAATGGGTGTATACGTGTAATTATTCATTGTAGTGACCTGCAGTGATGACTTCATATAATTAAAAACCAGTCAGGGTATCCTACAAAGAAATTACCTTGACATGTAACAGCCCTTAGACAACACACTATCCAGTTTTTCTGAACTCAAACTGGTTATTAGGCTCTTCAAGATTTTTTAAATTGCGTGTTCCTAAATTCTACCTAAGACCGTTGTTATCCGGGTCTCTGTAAGTGGAGTCCAGGAATCTGTTTATTAAACAAACGAAAACATGGAACAAGCTGATGATGTAAGTGGTAGAACTGCAGCTTTATGAATATCAAAATATGTATCTGTCTCCCTTCCCCAGCTTTGAAGCCCGAGTGGAAAGCGGAGTATTCCCACTAGGCCTGTGCTCCCGTGGAAGTCACCTGACAGCTAGCAAGGGGTTAGGGAGACAGCTCGAGCACAAGGACTTGGATTCAATTGCCGCTGCAGCATGCTATGCCGGCCCTGGAACCCTGGCATGCCGTGCTGCCCCCAAACAGCACATGGTGACCCATGCCTGCAATCCCAGCGCTGGGGAGGCCCAGACAGGAGGATCGCTAAGAGTCTGGGCTGTGTAGCGAGACCCTGTACCAAATAAGGAAAGGAAGGAAGGGAGGAAGGAAGGAAAGCAGAGAAAGAAGAAAGAAAGAAAGAAAGAAAGAAAGAAAGAAAGAAAGAAAGAAAGAAAGAAAGAAAGAAAGAAGAAAGAAAGAAAGAAAGAAAAGAAAGATAGCAAGGTCATGAAAACACCCTAGTGGCCATTCCTAGCTGTGAGCAGGTGAAGAGGGAAAATGATGGAAGCACCATATTTTCATGCATGAGGCTGCAGTTCTGACCTCATCAGCATAGGGTCCTGGCAAGAGAAGGCACGCTGCAGGGCAGGAGTGGGGCACCGACTAGGATCCTGGCCCAGGCTTCCTCGCTGCGAGGTGGTGTGCGGCTCCCCCAGCACTCTCCGCCGCAGCCTGGGGCTGCATGAAGGATCTCGGTGCCGCCTCTCCCGAGGACGAGGACGAGGACGAGGGACCTGGGCCCGTACAGCAGCTGCACACAGTCTGTAACAATGAGGGCGGCTGCTGCTACTGTTACGAAAATAATCGCCCAGTCTGGACTGCAGGACACCTCATTGGGCTCACTTAGCAAATGTTTCCCTGGGATTTAATGAAAATCCACCTAGGCCCACAAAGAAAATCAAACCATTCTCGCCAGGGGGTTGAGATGCTATCTTCCTTCCCTTTCCCAAGGAGGAAGGTGCTGGAGGGAATAATTATCAGCAGTAGGGGACCACAGAGTGCCTTTTGGAGACTCTCATTGCTGCCTGGGTCAGCCCCGGAATGGAAGCCAAATAGCTGACTGCAGCTCGAGTTCCCAAGGGCGGCTGGGGGTCCAATTCACTTTTGCTGAAACAGGACAATCATAACAATACGGCCTTTGTGCTCCTCAAAGCCACATAATTAGCAAGCATGTTTCAAGTATCCTTTCAGGGTGGAATCCAAAAAATTTTTCGAAAACCCAGACTTGCTATTTCTTTATACTTTGTTTGACAGTCCTCTGGGGCATCTCTGTGTAGCAAGGGCAGAAGTTACGAACTGTCCTGACTTCTGCGGTGAATACTAATATTAGCAGCTAAAATTGCATTTTTTAATAGAAATGCTTTACACACATCAATCTGCACAACAGCCTTATGGGCCATGTGATTTTTTCCCCTGCTTTTCATAGCCCAGGGAAGCAATTCTTGGGAACACACAGGTACTGGCCCAGGGTGGGATGGCCAGGGTTCAAACTCACATGTAGCCAGCAGTGAAGTCCCCAGCGGTCCCCACAGCCACGCTGCTCCTCAGCAGCCTTACAGACTGGTTCACACTGGATCAGGAGGCAGAGCACCTTCTGCAGAGTTTCACTCTTACAAAAGAGGAAGGATGGCCGCGCTCGTGGCATGGGGTGCAGGCCCCTCACTGGGCTCCAGAGAAGTGCCCCAAATTAAGGAGCTCAGAACTCAGAATTGAGAGACTCGCCCCTTTGTAGGGTAGAGGATTGCTACACTCCAGGGCTAAGAAATACATCTCTCTCCATTGTTTCTGTTTCTTCTCTTTCTCACTTTTTATAAAACCATATAAGACCTGGAGATTAAAGTAATTTTAAAGCTTCTATTTGTAGTGCTAGCCAGAAAACTAGGAGCCTCGTGGTGAATGGCCCTCAGGACTAGGAAAGAAGTTGTTTTTTTCTTTTTCTGTTTGTCCTTCCAGTTCTTTCTCTGACTCTGTACCTCTCTGCCCACCTGCCTGTCAATTATCTATAATCTACCTAGCATCTATCTATCTATCTATCTATCTATCTATCTATCTATCTATCTCCACCCATCCATCCATCCATCCACCCACCCACCCAGCCCTGTCAGTATGTGTGTCTTGCCTATTCTTTCTGGCTTCCCTATGATCCCCTGGCTGTCCTGCTTAGGGCTAAGAAATGCACCACACATCAGAGGTTCCCAGAGAACACAGAATCAGCCCTAAGCTAAAACACCAAGAACAGAGGGAAGGAAGCAAGATTTACAGTGGAAAAGAAGGGCGAGTGCAGAACGTTCTCGGCTAAAAAGATTGGGCGGAGGCTGGCTGCCCGGCTGCTTCGGCTGCTGAACATGAACTTGCCTCTTGGCTCACAAAGTCAGGGCCTGCGCTGTGCTCTGGGGCCTCCCAGCTGGGGTGGAAACTTGCGCAGTGAAGGATTCTAGCTTGTGCTGGAGGCCGGCTGTGGCCACAAGCCGGGCCCTGGAAACGAGCTGCCTCTGACTGTCCAACATTCGCCCTGGGAGAAGCCAGAGCGTGCCAGAAACACAAGAGGAGCAGATGTTTCATCTTCTTTATTTGTGGACTTCTCCTGCCTTGCTGGCAAATTCAGAGGTGACACTGGCAGCAGCTCCATGAGGGAGCTGTCAAATGTCCCTAAGCTGAAGATTAAGGTAACAGGGCTCACAGGTGTGGGCTCCTGCTGTCCGCAACAGAAGGCAGAGGTTAGACCGGAAGAATGTGCAGTGAGGAGTGGCCACCAGCCAGGGCCCAGCTCGCTCGCCAACACTCAGGCGCCGCGACGCTAGGCACATGGGGGACATCGACTTGCGTCTCACTGCAGGGCCTGCCTCCTCTGCCTCACTCATTCTCTCAGGCCTGGGGCGGGGCCGCAAGCACAGCACTACTGAGCGATGAGACCAAAGGAGCAAAGCAACCTTGCTCTCCTGGGTCCCTGGACAGACCAGCCTGGTTGGAGAATGTTCTAGAAGGGCCAGGGTGCTCAAGCTGGATTATGTCAACTCACTTGGCTTGAAGAGTCTCCCAGTGGGGAGGCTCACTTCTAGGGTGTGCGGGTGTGCTGTGGGCCTGGGCTCTGGGGTCTGCGTCTGGCCCCGGCCCCTACTCTCAGGTGCTGGTCCCCTGCTGTACAGCCAGCTAGCAGGAACGCAGCAGCCTTGTGCTCCAGCCTTTCTGCCATGATAGTCCTGCCTCAAGGCCATTGGGCCCTAACAGGATCACCCCAAATCCTGAGCCAAAGTCAATTCTCCTCTAAGTTGGGAGTGTTGGGCACTGGGTCCCCTCTGCTGCCTCCCCAGCAGCAAGTCTCATCAGTGCGTCTGCTTTCTGTCTGCCATGCGCCATAGGGGTCAGGGTGCCTCTCAGCCCACCGCCAAACAGGCTGTCACACAGTGTTTATTTTTAGCACTCATTAAGCAGCCTCTCCTCTCCTCTCCTCTCCTGCTGCTAGACCAGAGAGACCCGGCTCACCACAGTTAGTCTTCCAGGCTGGTTCTAAATCTGTCTACGCTCACTCAAGTAAGTCCTGGGCCTCCCACCCTACAACCCCGCTAAGTAACTATCTAATTGTTTTATGACTTTGCTATCCTCCTGGTCCAGGAACACTCCTGTTCTGGAACCTACCCCTGCTTCCATCCACTCAAGGTATGCAGTTTAGAAACCGCTTCCTTTAGCAACAGTACTGTCTCCTTTTCTCGCTTCTTCCCTGCAGACAGAAGAACTCTTTCCAGCTGGGTGTAGTAAATGGCTCAAAGTACATGCTCAGCTACCGGGGCTGACTGAAAATACTTCATGTGGTCCTTCTCTCTAGTCGAGCGGCAACTGCACACTTCTCGGGGGCACCATCCACCATTGCTTTATTTCATGTGAATGGTGTCCCCTTGAAATATACACTGGTATGGTGCTGCCCTCAATTACCTTTTCTAAAATATGGCAGAATTTGCACAATCTCTGAAAAAACATGGCTCCATAATAAATGAGTATCCTTTGAGAACCAGATGAAAACGCAAATCCTTTTCTAGTCAAGAAGCTTTCAATGTAGGCATCAGACACACCCTCAGGGTTCCACTACCAGATGGACATTTTATGCTCTCGTACGGTGTTTCATAAAGTCTTGTAAGCTCTCCAGGTGTAGGAATCTTATCACTTCACTTAAGGCCTTGGATCCTCTGAAGAGCACAACATATTTGGAAGAAGAACAAAATATTTATAAGAAGTTCGTGTTGGCACATTGATTTTAAAGGAAAGCATTCTAGAGTCAAATGATTCAAGCGCTAATCCAGCGTGCTTCGTTTGGGAGTTCTCTGCCAAGACTAGGCTTTATGCACAGATAAATCAAATAAACTCACTCCACCAAATCTTTTGACTCGCCTCTTCCTGAGCTTCAGGAATGACGAAGGAATCTAGGTGTGTAACCACACAGGATCCTAGCCTGAGCCCTCGGCCAAAACACATAAATACTTCTAGACACCCCGACCTTGAGGCCCAGAGCCCCTGTGTGGCTCGCTTTCACAGAAGGCCTCTGGGTATGTGGACCGAAACATATTTTGCAGACTAACTCTGGTGGATGAACAGCGACTACACTGGATTCTAGGCAAACGAAAGGGGGGTGTGTGAACAAAAGGAGGGGGGCTTACTGTCCCGCACCAGTCCTTCCTGAGTGACTCTGCCACCCCGAGAGGCAGCGGGAAGCGGCTGCTTCCGAGTGAGTTCTCCAGCCAGCTGTTCACTCATCTGTTGAAGACGGTGAACTAAAATTTCAAATTGTACAGTTGTTGATTTCCTTTAGCTTTGTACCTTGAGGATTTGAAAGAACTGGGGGAAACTGTGAAACCAGCGCAGGCAATCCAACACAAACTTTCTGAACTAGGAGCATTCAGAAAGGGGTGAAGCTGATTTGGAAAAGCTGGATAAAGTAACGGACATACTCTTTCAGCGCTGGGGGTGGGGCTGGGCGTGGAAGACATTCATTTGTGAATGGAACAGAGGCAGCAGTGGTAGGGTGGAGGTTGGCAGGGCAAGGTCAAGAACGAACTCTGGCTCCACTTCCGTACACGAGCCCTGCCAGCCACAGAGGGCTGGAGAGAAGCATTCTTGGCTCGGAAGCAGCGGGGGCAAGCTCTTACCCTTTGGCCTGGTGAACCGTCTCGTCCTGGTGAGCCCACACCTCCTGGGACACCCTAGGCAGAACAGGACAGAAAAGACACTGACAAACCTACTGGTGTAAGAGAGGACCCTCTGTGATGGAATTCAGACCCACACGTTGTGCCCAGGGAAGGAGCACCTCCCACCAGGCATCAATGTGGCCCTTGGAGGGGCATGAGGTAGATGGACACAAGTAGCTCTGAAGCCACGGCTGACATCAGAGGCTCTGCCCTGGATTCTTAGCGAAGCTCGAGCCACCAACAGCTGTCACCAAAAAACATAACAACAGTACCTGTGGCCCAGGAAGGCCCGTGTCTCCTTTCTCTCCTTTCTCGCCTGGCATTCCCTGAATATCAAAAGCACAGAGTCAGGCTCCCAGGAGTACATGCTTGGTCTTCTCTGTTAGAGTTCTCTCGATTCTAAAATGCTCTCACATGACCAGCTGAAAGGCACGCTTCACTTGCCAAATGCGCTACACCATCTGGGTACGCGCTGCTAGGGGAGTGAGCATTCACAGAACAGAACAGCTTCAACACAAGACATACATTCGCATGTGGCCGAGCTGACACCGGGCATACAGAGAGGGGACTACTGACTATTTCACTAGTATTTGCAGTTTAAATTTAAATTCTCACATCTATATAGATTTGCTTTATTTTGTATTTGGTTCAAAACCCCACAAAAATAGATTATAAGTATAAATATACAAGCACAGGTCCTAGTGGATAGTAAGGCTGCAACAAGTACTTGTTATTAATAGTGATAACTACACAAATTCATGTGGTGATGGTTTCTAAAATACGAAAAACTTTTGTAAGGAAAACCCAGAGAAAGACTGCCAAAAAGCAAGCTTTCAAGGATCTGGTTGCTCTAAATGTTAATTACAGGTTGGTTTTTACTGTAACTCTAGGTCTCCATTAATGAAGATGAATAAATGCAATTAAATTTATTGTGAGGACACACTATAGCCTTCCACAAAAATGCTGCTAGGTAACACACACAGCGTAGAAGGCCAGACTCACCCAACAGACTGCACTCGGAGGCTAGTTGAGATACAAATCATAAATCAATGGCTTTCATTAATCTCCAGCCACCGCTGCTATAACCAGTAATGCATCATTAACTTCTTTGTTACCACATCCATTAAGAATTTGGTCAAATAAGAGAAGAGCTATGCACGTGTGAAGGCCTGTTTTTCCTCTGCAGGAGGCGTGTGTGCGGGAACGCACCACCTGCTCACGTGCGCCTGTCTGCCGTCAGGGCCACCTTCAAGCACAAAGTGGGCCACGGGCAGGGCAACGAGTGCAGCCTCCATCGGGCTTGCTTGCGAAGGCAGGGAGGCTCGTTATTAGGGCATGAGGACGCTCAGGAAGACTCGTGACGATATAACCCACATCAATCTTTGTGTGTCACTCACTGGCATTCCTTGAATGGACAGACCACTTGGTCCTTGAGGTCCTGGTGGCCCCTGAGGTCCTGCAGGGCCTGATTCCCCACGAGGGCCTTCTGGTCCCTGCAAGACAAGAGAGAAGTAAATGGGGGTCAGGCTGTGTAAGGGTGAAGTTGCCGACCACAGAGGGACCTCTGGCTGTGTTCAAAAAGCTCATATTCACGCCTCTGAAGGCAAATGACACTGCAGCTTCAGGGCCAAACCTAAGACAAAGGATTCCAGGGCAATAAACTGCCAACCTAAGAGATAAGACAGTTCTGATTGGCAAAATTTAATGTTGCAAACGTCCTTGTTCTAACTCCTCAGGGTCCCGCTCCGTTCCCCATGTTTACCTCAGCTATCGCTCTCATTTCCCTTCATGCTCACCCCAAATCTGTTTGAAACCCAATAAATATGGGGGCAGTCCAGAGAAGTCTTTGTGTAAGCTCCAAAAGAATTCTAACTTTCCTGGACCCCAAAACCATATTATTTGTCTTTTATTTAAGCCTTCACTTTACCCTTGTTTAAGATACTGAGGGCCTGGCCAAGCTCCTAGTAAGAAAAGTCATCAAGCAATGATGATCCCTAAGGGATAGTGCTGCTCACAGCACTTAGAATTTATCCACTTACAGAATGTTCCCTAAGACACAAAAGTTCCCAGAGAACAACTCCACACCTCAAACGATTCACCTCCCAAGCCAAACCTCACCAGCAGAACAGGACAGCGAACACAGGGGATTACTGCTTTTTTCTTCCACAGATCGAATGCTGTGCCAGTTAGATGAGTAACTAGACCCCCCACACTCCAGAAGAAATTCTAAAGGAAGGGGAAGTGCTGAAGACACCCTCCTGGTCTGTGAGGACTCGATCGTGGAGGAAACGGAGACAAACCACCTCTCCCTCCCTTGGGGTTGTCCACATCCATCCCAGCAGCCTCTGCCCTGGGACCTCCACCTTCATCCTACTCCCTCTGCCTCTTCAGTGCCTACAAATGGCCCTGGAATCAATATTATTTGATTTCCATTATTTTCAAGATAAGACATCCCTTTCACTTTAGTAAACTGACTACATTTAGACCTTGTCATGGTTTAATTAAACCATACCACCTCTGCAATCTTAGAGCCAGAAAAAAATCTATGTATTGCTAATCTCTTCTCCCCGCCTCATTCTATGACTCCAATGAATGGTATCATCTCATTAAACTAGAATTCTGATACTTGGATATCATCTTTATTTTTTAAATTGACACACTAAAACAACATATTAGTGGGGTTCTATGTGATGTTTTGTGTATAAATATGCAGTGTTCAAATCAAGATAAACATATCTAGGGCTGGCCTGACAGCTCAGCGGACTAAAGTGCCTGCTTAGGCAGAGCACAGCGGCTGGGGTTCAAACCCCAGTTTGCCACACCAGCCCCATCCCCAGGGTGCGTTGAGACTGTCATTGAGACCGGGCATCGTGGTGTGCACCTGTAATCCCAGTGCTTGGGAGGCTGAACACAGGCGGATCACTGTGAGTCCGATCTTTGTAGTGAAACCCTGTAGACCCTGTAGACCCTGTCCTAAATACAGAAGAAAAAAAGATAAACATATGTAGCTCCTCCAACTTTCATTATTTTTTTGTGGTAGAAACCCTCAAAATCTTTTCTTTAGCTTCTCTGAAGTATGCAGTCATTATCCTCTTACGGTCGCGCTGCTTCATTTCGTAACAGAGCACCAGAACCTACTGGCCCGGTGCAACAGAACCTGGGGCACAATGCCAGCCCTTCCTCTACACTTCCCTGCTCTTCCCAGCCTCTCTAAGTCTAGGAGCTCAACTTTTGTCTTAGAGTCCACATGTGCATGAAATCACGTGGTGCTTTTCTGACTTACTACACTTAACATAATGACCTTCAGTTCCATCTGTCACAAATGAAAGCTCGTGACGTCTGTCTTACGGCTGACTAGCACTCCTTGGGGTGCACTGCCATGTTTCTCTGTCCACTCACCACTGGATGGACACTTAGGGGCTCCACTTCATGGCTCTGTGCCTAACACTGCAGTGAGCGTGGGACACAGAGGTGTCTTCAGCTCCACCCCCCGTGCAGGGACAATGTGGGCAGCACCCGAAAGGTGAGTCTGGTATATCCATTACTTGGAGCAAAGCACATTGAAGAAAAATAACCACAGGACAAAATACATAAAAATACTGAGTTTTGGGCTGGGGGGATAGCTCAGCAGCATAAGCACCTGCCTGGTAAGTGTAAGGTCCTGAGTTTGATCCCTGCTACTGAACAAAAACAACAATAAAACAAGAACAACAACAAAACCCCTGAGTTCTGTTAGGGTGAACCACTGGCACAAATCTGGAGTCCAGGGGTCAGCGGGATCTGAGCAGGTGGACTCTGGAGTGCCGAAGGCATGTCTACAGGGGAGGAGGCCTTGCTAGAGTGCAAGGAAAGTCCAAAAACACCAAAGGAAAAGTGGTAGAAAGGAGAGGGAGAAAAGGCTGGGAAAGAACCCGAAATGGGGAAGCCTACAGCTTGGGAGACTGACGACAAAGCAGGTGGTGCTGTACAGAGGAAGAAAATGCTTCAGCATGGAGGGCTCCCAGTTGGTCCCTGCTGGTGCAAGGGCGAGAGGATGAAAGTGGGCCCCAGGAAGCTGCTACCGAGCAGGTAATCTGTGACGCTAACATGAGCACTTTCGGGGGCTCTGGAGGATCAGGAATCCTGCGAGGGTGCAGAGTCATGGGGCAGTGAGGAGCCCTGGGCGTGGCTGCTCTCCCAGACGGCACGCGGGTCTGCACCAAAGATTTTGTAAGCAGCCCCCTCGCTTTGAGTGAAGAGGAATTGTCCCGGGCTGCACCTAAAAATCTGTAATACAGTTCATCAATGTAAGCAATACAATTCTTTTTAAAATACCTTTACTTTAACATTAATAAGAGCAAAAAAGGGCTGGCTTCAGGCTAGATACACCTTCATATTTAGAACTGCTGACTAATCTGTCAGTTTTGTATTATTGAGGAACAGAACACAGAATAGGGCAGAAAGTAGCTGGCCCCCTTTATTCTGTAAAATCAGAGACCAAGAAATGACTGCAAGACAAAAATGAGCAGGAGAAGCCTGCAGTGAGGTTGCCTTAGGCTTCTAAGCTCCTGCTGCTCACACAGCAAAGAGATTCGGCACAGGGGCTTCAGTGCTGCCGGAGCACAGCGCGCTGCCGGAGCACAGCGCGCTGCCGGAGCACAGCGCGCTGCCGGAGCACAGCGCGCTGCCGGAGCACAGCGCGCTGC